GGACATTGCAAATGCCACTCCTACTCCTCAAAGCTCGAGCCCTGCAGTTAATCAGGGATGAGGCAATAGCTTTCCTGGGCTGTGCTGGTCTGTGTGTGCTCAGCTGGGGGCACTGAGAAGATGCTCAGGTCAAACAGGAAAGGATGGAGCTGTGTGCAGGAGGAGAAACAAGGAACACACTGCTTAGTTTTGCATTTTGGATGTAAGTGGAGGTCAGTTTTAGAAAACCAGGTGTATTTGTATACTAGATATACCCAGGCATATTTCCAAACTCTTCCCACGGAGCAGTATTTGCAGTTGTGCTACTCTGTTACCAGCTCAGGGGTGCTGTTTGAACTACTTTATCAAATGCAGTGCTTTAAACACACCAGCTATTATGAAGTTGCCTCCCTCCCCTTTCAGTCCAGTTAATATTTTACTTCTTCTAGCTCCCCAGAAGAATCACTGAAGAGCAACACCTGCAAATAAAACATACCCTCTTTCATTTTGCAACACAAGTTTTTGCTAATGCCTTTGCCTTTTGCCCTATCTAACCTTAGGGTAGAAGTGGAGGTGGGTGCACAGAGCCCAGCTAATACAGTGACCTTTGCCAGGAAATTCACTGAGAGCAGCAGGTCCCCCCAGGGCTGAGCTGTGCAAAGCCCTGGGAAGTTCCTGGAGTGTGGGAGTGCTCTGCTGCCCCGGAGGCACTTGCTTTCAGATTAAGGTGAAGAGCCTTGAAAAACTCCTTGAAGGCTCCACAGGGCAGTGGTCATATCACCAAGCCTGCCAGAGCTCAAGGAGCATTTGGACAACACTCTCAAGCACAGGATGGGATTCTTGGAGCTGCCCTGTGCAGAGTCAGGAGCTGGACTTCAAAGACCCTTTTGGGTCCCTTCCAGCTAAGGATATTCTTTGATTCTGTGATTCTATTATCATGATTCTCTTTGTCAGAGACCTCCATCACAGGCTTTATCTGGTGAAAATGCTGTCTTTCTTGATTGAGATAAATATATTCTTTATTATCATTCATTAGGGGATTTATAGTACCAGTGGCATTGTGTCACCTTGCACATTACCTCACGACCTTCTGGTTGTCCACCTGTTCTGGTAAATCACAGTTTTCTGCAGCAACAGCAGACTGCTCTCCAATACACATTATCCTTTACACTACTCTTAAGATACACTGTAATTTAAGAAATGTCATGAAAATAATGTGTCATTTAATTTAAATATAATTTTATATTTAACAGTGAAAATTACAAGATAAGCGTTAAGAAGATATAAGTTAATCTTGTCTTGAATATGACAAGATATTAGTTGCTTCTAATGTTGATTTCTCTATTCTCACCAGCATCAGCAGTGTAAAAACTTGGCAGCAGTTAACTCAAACTGCACCATTTGTGATAATCAATAGTGTTATTTCAAAACCAGAAAGTACCTAGAAAATACAACTGACTCTTCAGCAGTTTTTTTCTGCTGTATCATTTCCACTGCAATTGGCAAATAACTAAAAAACCCAAGCAGGCTGTTCATGTCCTGACAGAAATAATTTTTCCTTTGCCCTGTGCAACTGAGAACCTTTAAACCCAAATCTATACCGCAGTTTACATTTGAGAAGTTTCTAGAAACGTTTAAGTGGTTGTCAATAGTATTTCTCACTTTATGCAACAGCAAGTATTGATATCAATGACAGCCAACTTTATATTAATAGAAACATGTGAAGCCTAGTCATCATGTCCTTACAAATACAACTGCTGGCAACATAAAAACAGTTAAAAGTTTCTTGTTGGAAGAAGAGCAGCTACTAATCCGAATCAAAATGCCTGTGGTGACACATGACCTCTCTCAGTCAAACAGGCAAGATTTGGGCAATGAGAGGCAGAACCTCAAACTGTGTTTTATCTGTATATCATGTCACATTTCAGCTAATCTAAATGCATATTGACAGACAGGTTTACAAGTCTCATATGTGAATCAGTTGTGAAAAAAAGTAATTTTCCAAAGATGGTGAAATTGGTCATTAATTATTATTACACAAGGACATTCACCCAAAACTGGTTTTACACAAAATATCTGTTACTCCTTGTTTTTTGAGATTAGTGTCTGGAAGTTTCCTTCTCATTCTGCTATATCGTTTCAGTTTGTTAAATCACATTGTGCCACCAGTGGAACTGCCAAGTGGTATTAAAATAGCACAGATCAGAATGATGGAGAAACACTTCTCTGACATTTCCTGATATGCAACAGAACAGGGTATGTTATGAATGGATTTTTAAAGGCTTGTTCACTCAGATCTTAGTGGGACTACTCCTCTACTTATGTACGTGTGCTCTGTTAAGTGTCTCAGTCTTAGCAGAAGAGGGACTCAGCCCATCCTATATTCCATTTTACTCTCTCTTTGGAGTATTTGTAACTCACAACCCTGGAGTTGTATAATTTTGCATAAACATTCATTACATAGGCTATAAGTGCCAGTCCCAAAGCCTAAATTCCCAGCTGCAGTGGTGATTTGCATTCCCAAATGCTTCTGTTACATTTGTTACTTTGCTTCAGAAACGCTGTTAAAAATGCCCCTGTATTGTTCACCCTCATCCACACCTCAGGATCTCTTAATAACACAGGAGCCACTACTGCGTATTCACATGCAATTTCTGTATGTATTTATTAAATTCATGCTCAGAGTAAAACGTCCAATTTTGATTCATCTAAGGCATGTGAGGGAGCACTCAGAGCTGAAGGCTTATCAGGTCCAAACCTTACTGTGCTCTGCTGTAGCTGCAAGCAGAGATGTAAACAAGTTGACCCTAACTTGCAAAACTCCACCTGAACTCCAGAATCCCAAATTTTCCAAGTCATTCTGAGGTGGAGGGACATGAGGAGAAGTAGGTAATAAGCACACCATGGAGAACATCACTGCCCCAGGGCATTTTGAGAGGTTAGTCAGCAGCAGACTGCTCTGCCAAGCACTTCCTCTGGATGCCCCAAGAGTAGCAGTGTGCTTGGTATAAGCAGGTAGAGGAGACTGCTCTGCAGGTCCCATAAATGGTCACATCCTCTTAGAAAGGCTGTAAGGGTCTTGCTCTCCTGGGTAGTACACCCACCCACAGACAACAGTCTTACACAACGCCTTACTACAACCAGCTACGTAGTCGGACAGTCCTTGAGTCAATACAGCTGGAATTTGCTAGATAGATAAAAGAGGAGGATTTTGTACTGGAGAAAGAATCACAGTGGCACAGGAAACACTAAGAGAAAATTAATCTAAGCAAAACAACAGTCAGGAATCACCTTATAGGAAATTCAAGTTTCTAGGTCTCTTTATCAGGAAGTAAGTGGGCAAAGAAGGACCCACAAAAATTAGATTCTCTCCCAGCCTTTTGGTAGTGTGGCAACCTTTCACTTCCTCTGCCTTCCCTTCTTTTTCTCAACCTTCCAAATACTTGCTGAGGTGAAGCAGCCAACACGTAACTAAGCTGGTCTCTCCTTGGGACTGAAAACCCTATGTGAGCTCTGCAAACAAGAGATAGAGGCCAATTTCAGGAAAGATAGAGAATTTGCAAAGAAACTATCACCAGTATACTCACAGACTGCTTTTCATCACTGCACTCAAGCCTAGCATACGTTTGACCATTTTGGATATCGAACCAGCCCCAAGGCATGTAACAGTAGGTTGCTGCACCAGCCAGTCTGTATTTAAAAAGCCTTCATTGATTTTTTCAGGTTGTTTTTTTGCAGACAGTTTTGAAAAGGTCCCAGGCTATGCAAGCTCTGGCTGGAGCAGCAGCCAGGCTCCAAAAACACTCAAGACCTGCACAGCCATTAAGAACAATATTTACAGGTTTGTCTGTAAAAAAGCAGCCCTCAAAATTGCTGGAATCATGCAAGAACACACCAGAGATTTTTGCTGAGTAAATATGTCTTTGACAAGGCACTTTGGCCTATTTCAGCCTTCCTTTAGTACTTCATCCCTGCTAAGTAAAAGCTAAGGGAAGATCTTAGCAGGTAAAATACCAGAAGGGGTGATATAAAGATGATGGACATGGGCTCTTCTCAATGGCATCCAGTGACAGGCAACTGGCACAGACTGGAACAAAGGAGGCTCCATCTGAGCATCAGGGAATCTCTTTTCACTCTAAGCGTGACCAAGCACTGCCATCCCTAGAGATACCAAAAAGTGTCTAGGCATGGTCCTGAGCCCTGTGCAGCCCTGCTTGAGCAGAGTGTTTGGAGCAGATGTACCTTAAAACCTCAGCCATGCTGTGATTGCGTGAAGGGAAAGGGGAAGAGAAACTGTGCTCCTGAAATAAGCTTTGACGCTGGTTTCAAGAAGTTCCTGCTTGCACTGTGAGAAACTCAGCTCCAAAAGGTTTCTAAAAAAAGGTTGTGAATCTCCTCCTCTGGTCCTGGCACTCCTTAGCTGGACTCCTATGATGTGGATCCTGAGCTGTGCAAGAAGGGAGAGGAAAAGTACAAACAGTAGGAAATTTGCTGATTATTGTGTGCTAAGCTATACCCCATATGAGAAAAAAAAAAAAAAAAAAAAAAAAAAAAAAAAAAAAAAAAGAAAAAAAAAAAAGAAAAAAGCTAAGAACCAAGTTATCAGGAAATGACACTGTATAATCAGTTCCATCAGTTCTATAACAAGTTCCAGATTTGCAAGTGCACTTTCCAATTGTCAGCTTGCTGTTTTCAGTAACTTTCATCCTCTGACAAGCACCAACCACTAGTTTGTGCACCATCCAATGATCTGGTTTTGAGAAGCTATCAGAGCCAGTACAGAGAATTGCAGGTTTACGTGTCTCTCTCTCTCTCTCTTTCTTTTTTTAAAATTTTTATTTTTAATTTTCATGCTGATGGCAGTATCTTCTTCTGTGTCTGGTTTGCACTAGGTTACTTTTTGCTGTGTGTAACAGTTTTGGTGACTTTCACAGAACTAACCTGGAGATAAAATCAAAAGTAGAGTTAAAACTGGCCTCATTTTCCCTGCAGTAGAGCTGTGCACTTAAACCATGACTCATCATGACTTGCAGTCACACCCAGACCCATGATGAGCTGACTGGCCAGTCTTGAGAACAGAAGGCAATCCAGATAGGCACAGCAGAAGGGTGAAGGTTGGCTCCCTCCTCTTACCGGATCACCACAGTGATAAACAAGCCAGCAATCACCCTGGTTTCTCAACTGAGGTTCCAGCTTGGTAATGAGTCCTAGAAACTGAACAGCCTCTGCTGTGGGACATTTTAATGTGCAGCTCTAGACAGCAGTAGATAGTGAATCAAATTTTCCTCTCTTATGACAAATGGGGAAATGTACAACCTCAGAAAAATATATCACCTTTTCTAAAAGCTGTAACAGGAGAGTGACTATGTCAAACAGTCAAACTATTTTCCTGGCAAGTCATTGAATGATCAATACATGAATAGCAGGCTACAATATGCTTATGCTGTGAAATTAAAACTTAGCCAAGTGTTTGAATGCCTGGTACTCTTTCCTACTTTTGGTATGCTTTCCAGCCTTAGCCAGCTCTTCAAATACATCATTCACTTTTGCAATCATTCTGTGTAGCAAAAGCAAGCTGAGTGATCATAAAGAAGAATTTATTTAAGCAAAAGAGTAGCTTCATAAGTTATTTTAAAAAATTATGTTATATCATGCTGCAAAAGACATGTTACTTTATGCCACTATCAGACACCTCCAAAAGCAAATGCAATTTCACTGTTCTCTATTCTGGTCCTCATATATCCACAGTAGCCTTCAGACAGCCTAAGTCCTTCAGAAGGTTTCTACCAATAAATGTTAAAATTAATCTTTCTTCAGGCATTAGACTCAAAAAGAAAATATGCTTTATTTCTGTATTTTCTTTCAGAGCACGTGAACTGTTCCAGTCCAATGCCTGAAAACCTAACCTTTTGAGTCATTTAACCAGTGTTTTTGTTGTACATCTGTCTGTCTTGGTTGCGTCTGACCTCTGGGATGATTGCAATAGAAAAAACATTCAATTTTTCTTTCTTTCTTCACTATGACTCAACATCCTTCTCCTCTCAGGGTATGACTACAGTTCATAGGGAATAGATCCAAAATTTCAACATTTCAAGCGTCTCACCCACAGATACTTTTGTCATTTAAGAAGTCTCAGGGTACCTATTTTTGCAAATATACTGAACATTCCCTGGGTTATAATCTGGGGTGGGGAGGGTTAGCATTTTTCTAGAGAAGCAACAAACCAGTACTCCAGATATCCCGATAATGAAGCGCTAAGGAGTAAACTTCTGGATTAAAGCAGTTCAGAGTGAAAGCAATAACCAGATACATGTGGGAATATTGCACTACCAGCAATTAGCTCTCCTAAACTAAGCATATGCAGAGGGGTCATCCCAAATTGCTACTTCAGGAGGCTCTCAATAGACTGTATTATAAATTAAAGGGATGGGTTCTTCCCCAGCAGTTTGTTTTGTGAAGAGATTACTCTTTTCCCCAGCATGACCCCTTCACTTGGAAACAGTGGGGTCTGGTATGGATTCAGTCTGTGGTCCTGGGAATGCACATCCTCAGTCCCCCGAGCATCAGATGTTTCACCAGGTCTCCCTCTACCTTCCCAAGCTCCTGGTGTTTCCATCAGTCCATGTGTGGATATGCACCTGGACGGAAACTAAGAGCCTGTGGGTTTCAGGCTCAGCAGTTTTCTGACTTAATTCACACAGAGCCCTCCCAGGTGCGACCCCTCAGCACAACTCGAGGCTGGAGACACTCATCGAGCCCTGCACGACACGCTCTGCTTTCCCCACACGTACCTGCCTTTCCTCACAGGGTTCAAGAGAGCTACTGTGTGACAATGCCTGGTCTGGACAGCCTGGCTGCGGTGCTTTCACCTCACCTCCTGAACACCTCTGGTCTTCTCCCAGATCAATCAGCTCAGGCATTGCTGACAGAATTACAGCCATTGATGGTGTTTACTCCAAGCTTCCAGGAAGGCAAATCCATTTTTCATTAATAAATTGTTTTCCTCTTTTAAGTTCCCTTATGAGGTTTTTTTAGCTGTCCTACTGCAATTCTCATTCTTTGGTCTTTTCATACAGCTCCCCCAGCCTATCTAAGCAGATCTCTTTCTTTTCTGCAGCTAGCCCCTTTGTTTCCCACCTTTTTGCCATTGTTTATACATGGTTTATATCCCTTCTCACGGAATCAAAAATAATTCTCATTCTATTAAAAAAAAGAAGTCCCTTTTTTCCCATTGAAATGTTACTGCTTAATTTAAGGATCACAGTTTTAAAAATGGTATCTGGAAAAAAAAAAAAAAAAAAGGAAACAAACCAGATTTAACTGAGACACCAGTTTTCATTTTAAGACGATTTTATGTGAATGTGGACCGTATTAGCTGTAGGTTTCAGAGAATTTCACTTAGAGCTGCATTTTAAAAGATAGTTTACTAGAATAGGATTTACTTCTAGATAGAAAGCATTTTTTTCTCATTTTTTGTAAAGAGGGAATGTAAAAATATTTTCCTATGATTAACACCATGCTTTCCCAGGACAAACAAAAGACTTTTGTAAGCCAGAAACCACAAAAAATAAGCATGTGTGTTCCCAAGGATTAGAACAGTATTACACACATACAGCAGAAGACGGTATGGAAATAAATTCTAAAATAATGTGTTCAAAGGCTTCAAAAACCATTTTAAAATAAGAGTCAGTTTTTCAGCTCATACCTATTGACACAGCCCTGAGGTTTCTATCACTTAGATACATACCACAGGAGCTCCTTGATAGCTCAATTTACAGTTAGAAAATGTTATCTAAATGTAGATTAGAAAACAGCTTTTGTGTTTGCAAGTTCACAGGAGGGAGTGGTTTAGCTTTCATTTACTGGAATGTAAAATGGACAAATCTTCTACATGATGCCTACAGAAGTCATATTTGATGTGGCCAAGTGTGCAGCAGGGTCATCAGCCTCTGCCCTGTGAACGTAGAAGATGGGCCTTCAGCATTAATTGTTCCTAATGACTCCCCAGCACTTTTGCTGTGAAGGATTCTGATGGCAGCATCCTGCAGAACTCCATGGCCATGGGTTTAATCCAGGAGTTCTGTCTCTAGCCTAACCCAGTGATACACATTCCCTCCACAAAAGCATGGGACAGGCATCTCCAAAAGGAGTTTCATCACAGCTGTCTCAGACACCAGCCACAGAGAGGGAACAATTATCCCATGGAGTTGCCTATCCAGTTCCCTCAGCTACAGAGGACCCTAGATGAGTTGCTTAGACTAGATGGCTAAATTTTAGATGGCTAAAGGTTGGTGAGGTGAATCTCACCTTTAGCCTTGGGATACGGGATATGTCACAATTTACCTCTGGAGAATTTATTGGTCAAGTTTCTATGGTAGGAAACCAGCTTCAGCATAGAAAGGATGAAAAGAGGGGACAAGGGCAGAAGAGAACACACCCAATATTAAAGATGGCCTAAGTATTCCATAGTATGACCTGTGCCCTGCAGTCCATACAGCTAACCTGCAGATTAGAGCACTTTCATCTCTCTGGACCAGAATCAATCCACAGAGCAGCCAGAGCTCAATAAATCCAGTTACAAACTGGGGGTAGCTGAGGCTGGAGCTTTTAGAATGCCAGAAGCAGAAAACAACACAAAGACAGCTCCAGCCAGGCTTCATAAGGAAGTAACAATATTTGATAGAATGGAACTTAAAGTCCCATTAACGCCACCACTGTACCAGAAAAATAAATCTATTTCAAAAAAAAGGGACATTTTCCCTTGCTTTCTTTTGGTGATATTGTTATTATTTGTTATCATGCACGCTAACTTTGTGAGCATTTGTCACCTGAGTTTTTATATTGTTTTAAATACTTAAAGCATTTGTTATTCATCTGCAGGAAGATGTATGTCCCTGATTTTTAGCTTAGATTCCCAGATATCCTTTTTATTGGTTTTACTTCTTCACCTTAGGAAAAAAATTGACTATATTTTTTTATTTTTTCCTCTTCTAGTTATGTCTAATTTCCATGCAGGAAGTACTTATGCAGTTCTTCATTCTGACTGTGAGTGAGAACCAAGCTATTACACTGTAACTTCACTCCCTATTGTGTGGGAAGGAAGAATTGCATCATCCCTAAGATCCAGAACAGGAGATGAAGATCCCTTCTTGGTGGGTGCGGTCCATGATTTTGTAGTCAGTCTTTCAACCAAAGAGCTCCTTTTGTTTTTATTCATTTTTTCCCTCTTCTGTTTCCCTCTCTTCCCCACAAAAATCTTTGTGGAAGACCAAAAAAACCCAAAAAAACCCAACTTTCAGTTTAGCAGTAGGTATTTTAAATTTTAAGCTTAAGCGCTGTAAACATCTCATACTTCTGCAACTCAGCTTTTACCATCTAAACAGTTGCCTTTATTCCCCTCTTCACGTGTGAGTACCAGGGGAATAGGAATTCCCAGCAGATGTAAGAGCATGACAACAAGTCATAGAAAACATAAAAAGCAGGCATAGAAACTTTGATTCAGAGTACCTTAAGTATTGTTAGTACCCAAATCTCAAGACAAATGCTATTTTTAGGATATCATTACCTAATAGCTGCTCTTAAATTTAAACTCCAACAAATTGCTTAGGTTATTTTGTAATGCAACTCTTTGTACTGGTGAATATGTTGACCAACTAATAAATACAAATAATTAAATTCTGCCTTCTTAACAAGGTGAAAGGCCATCAGCGAACAGACATTGAAGGAAAATCTGTATTAGCCTCTACCAAAACTGAAAGCCTACTGTAAAAACAGCTGAAGAAAGTTATGCAACACTTAAATACAGTGTAAAACAGTGTGCCACTCTACAAGACATTAAAAAAAAAAAAAAACATTCAAAGGCACACTAAATTGTTAAACTGGGTTAAAATATCTTAACAGTGCAATTCCCATTAGCACTCTTGGCAGTGCATAATTTGCTGTCAATAACGTTTTATTCACGAGCTTCTGGAGGAGGCTGCCTTCCCTGATGCCCTTGGATAAACAGGTACGTGGAATTTGGGAGGGAGGGAACAGAGAGAGGGAAGGAGGCAGGGCAGGAGGCAGGGAAAGGAGGGAGACAGGGCAGGGCAGGAGGCAGGGAAGGGAAGGGGGCAGAGCCGGGCAGAGCGGGGCAGAGCAGGGCAGAGCCGGTCAGGGCAGAGCCGGGCACGGCCGGGCCCGGGCTGCGCGTGGGGCCAGAAGGGACCGGGAGAGGCGGCGGCGACGACGACGACGGCGGGCACCGAGGTAAAGCCGCACCGCACGGGCCGCCGGCGGGAGCGTGCGCGGTGAAGGATTGGCGGCGGGGGTGCTAAGACGGCACCCTTCGGGCGGAGGGTGCGGTGAGGCGGGGATCGCAGTGTGTTCACAGCGCGTTCACAGCGGTAGTGTCGGTGGCGCGGCCTTTCCTCGGTGCCGCCCGGCCCGTGCGGGGCCGGGGGTCCCGCCCGCGGGGGCGCCGGGGCGGTGTCGGAGGCGCTTCGTCAGCGCCGGGCACCGGCGGCGGCTTTCCCTCGGCGGTGCCTTGCTGAGGGTGTTGCCCCCTTCCCCGAGAGCGGTCCTTGCTCCGTGCCTCGGCCCCGGTTCGCAGGGGTGCCCTTGTGCCCCGCTGGCGCAGGCGAGACTGTCCCACGCCGCGCTCCCCGGTGCTGTGCGAAAGGGCCGGCTCAGCCCCGCTGGGAAGTCGGCGCGATCCCCGCTCTGCCGGGCTGAGGGGTGCAGCTGGTATTCGTTTCCCTTTGAGGGGAGCCGGGGAAGGTCTGTTTTAGATTGTAAACAACGAAATACAAATCCTGTCCGTCCTGTTCTGTGCGCTGAGATCCTCGGCACGCTTTGGGGCTTGGTGGAAATGTAGTAATCACAAAAGAACAGTTACCCCTTTTAGCCTGGCGGTGATCCCAAAATCATCTACAACTCGGTCTTCCAAATCTTTATTTGAACTAAAAAAGGAGGGAGAAAGTGTTCTAGCAGTAAAGGTAACTGTATGTGGAGTAAATTTTGACAGACACGTTAATTTGAGGCACTTGAGGAAGGAGTTTCTCTGTGGAAAACATCTGGCTGCAGTAATGGAGTAATTGCAATCCAGAAGCACTGTAAATTAAGGTGATGCGGCACTCAGATGCTCTAGCATATAGTGACTTATTTAATCTCAAGTATTACACCATACAGCAAGAAAAGAAAGGACTATATTCCTGTCAACATGATGAGTCTGAATTAAACCATCTAAGGTAAATCACAAAATACGATTTGTAATATGAGTTTAGCTTTAAAGATTACTTAAATAGCATAATTACTGTTGCATGCCCTAATTCAAGTGAATAAGCATGCATGTACCTTAGCAAGCAGTGAGGCCCAAAACAGGAAGATTTGCAGAGAGAAGCAGTTGTCACTGAAAACTGAATACTCACTGTGTTTTTCAGAAAGTTTCCCTTTGACCTGGCTTAGTAAATCTGAAAAAAAAAAATAGTTAAATCCCTTAGTATTTGAAATTCTTGAGAACTTCTAGAGTGTGTTTTCCAATTTACTTCAAAAAAAGAGCCTACACTTGTTGTCTGGGTTCATCTTGTGATGTAAGCAAAAGCATAATAAATGGGGTGTTTGGGAAGTTTGCTTCACTAGCACACTTCTGATTTTAACTGAAATGCTGACGTACAGCTTTAGCTTCTATCAGCCGTATCTTTGAGTTTGTGTAAAAATGTAGAAGATCTTAATGTGTTAAATGTTTGCTTTTAATTAGTTCTAATATTATTATGCAAAGGATATTTTGAACACTAATAAATTTCTTATGATAGAAATGGTCTAGTATTAAAACCCATACCCTTTACCTGATCCTTTGGATCAGGTGGGCACTCTTGTTAGGTGTAGAATAGACAGGTCTTTGCACATGAGTTCTGTAAGTCCCAAATAACTCTGCTCTGTGGTTCAGGGAAACGTACTTAAACAAGTCACCTTGTCATTGTCATCCCCACCTTCCAAGTTTGATAATCAGCATGTTTCTGTAAACACTTCATGGGTTTCCTTTTAACCATAGTCCTGTCTTTCTCCCTGCACTGGGCATGCTGGTATGGGGGCAGAGAAGAGTGGTAGATCAGTCAGAGGGCTCACATTTGTGTCTGAATGCTGGCATTTTAATTGTCCCGTAGAATTTGACCACTGAAAATTTCATGGAGGAGGTTTTGGGGAGCAGGAGAAAACACTGTGGTATTCATAATGTGAGTCCTGTTTATGTGTAGTCCTTAGTTAAACCAGAGGTAGCGTGTTGGTTGATGCAAGTGTGGGTAGGAACAAAACATTGAGTGAGCCAAAATTAACTGCTGAACCAGTCATTAAGTTGTGTAGATTCAGCTTAGTGTGACCACAGTGGGGATGATGTATGAGGATCCACCTGCATGTTTCCCTGCCCCCACCTCTAATTCAGAGGTAAGCAGTCTGGAGAGGGGACTAAAAGTGATGGAAAGGCTTGCTTTGCTGTAGTAAATCAAAGGCTGCATCACAAGGCACTCTGTTTCCAGCAGTATGCAGTTTTTTTTTTTTGGTTAAGGCACTCTTAAGGGTGGAAGAAAGTTTTGTTCTTGTTAAGTATGAAGGGAAAATGTAGTATTTGGTATAAAAGTGAGTTAGAAGGTCAGAGTTAGGCTCAACTGACTGATCAGCTACTGAAGCTTTAAAAAGGGGAAAGCGTGCTGTGAAGGGTAAATTGACTTCAGAAGCATTGGTGAAATACAAATAAATTGAGTTTAATCATTAAACATACATTGGAGAGCGGGAGAGGTGTAGCCTAGGGTGTCAGTAACTAAATGAGAGCCTGTGTCTTAAAGAATATTCAAGTAATTTTAAAAATTGTGTTGAGATACTTTGTGAATGACTTTATTTGAGCTGTCAACATAATGTTTGTAGGTGTCTGGATTCCAGTCTTGCCCCATTGACAAATACTGTGATAAATAAATATATGGCACTTGCTCGCCCTGTTCATTATACTTTTAAGGTCATCAAATCACAGAATCCTGGAGTGGTTTGCATGGGAAGGGACCTTAAAAGATCATCCATTTCCAACCCACTGCCATGAGCAGGGACACCTTCCACTAGATCAGGTTAATCCAAGCCTCATCCAGCCTGGCTCTGAACACTTCAGGGATGGGGCAGCCACAGCTTCTCTGGGCAACCTGTGCCAGGGCCTCACCACCCTCACAGGGCAGAATTTTTCTAATAGCTAAAGCCTGCTTTCTTTCAATTTGAAGCCACTCCTCCTTGTTCTGCCAGTCCAGACCCTTGTCCAGAGTCCCTATCCAGCTCTCGTGGAGCCTCTTAGGCACTGGCAGGAGCTCTAAGCTCTCCCTGGAGCCTTTTCTTCTCCAGGATGAACACCCCCAGCTTTCCCAGCCTGTCTCCAGAGCAGAGGGGCTCCAGCCTCCAGAGCATCTTTTTGTTCTTCTCTAGACTTATTCCAGAAGATCCATGTCCTTCTGATTTTCTCCCCCCAGAGAGTCAGAGATCAGTATTTCATGTGGTAGCATCCCAAAAATGGTTACTTACAGGTCAGTTAGAAAGATTGTGTCTTTTGACATCATATGTCAAAGATAGAAAATAGTCTACAGTTTCAGGATGGGAAGACTGAGACAGTTTCATGTGATTTTTTGGAGACCTTTACTAGTGCTACTATCTGAAGCCTGGTCTAGTGCATATATATATGTATATATTTAATTTTGTTATTATATATTGTTAGTTCTGATAAACCTATGCTGTTCTGTTTTCATAGAAATGTTTCTGAAGTTCATTCTGATTTATGTCTAAAACATTTGCAGGTTTCTTTCAGTTTCACATACTGTGAAGAACAGTTGTAGAAACAAATCAAAGTTAAACAGATAATGCCTGAAATGAGATTCTGAATATAATTTCCAACAAGAATTTTCTTTGACTTGGAAATATAGCTGTTTCACAGTGCTTTCAGCTTGTTTCTTGTGTCTTTCTAAGTACATTAAATGGTTAATTTAGTACTCATCATAAATACTTTGGCATATCTACTTGTAAATGGATTGTGATAGTCATTCAGATTAAGTGATTAATGTGGTTTGTTTAAATGTGGCAATGAGTAGAATATGTAGCTCTAAATACAAAGGTATTTGTCCTTTAAGCAAAGGCAGGAGTTGACAGTAGATTTTAGTTGTGCATGCTTTACTTTAAATCTTTATCCTAAGTGAATATTTTATTATCTAACCTAGTACTTATTTAAGAAAAAAATGAAACCACTTTTTACTTGTATTTTTGGGGTGTTGTGTTTGTGGTTATTTTTGTTGTTGATAGATGCTTTGGGGTTTTTTTAAAAGTTCTGTAGAAAGTCTGTGCATTGTTATCTTTCCAGAGCATTTCTCTGTGAATACCAGCACAACTGAAGGGCTGTAAGTGATGGGATTTTTCAGAGGAGTCTCTGAAATCCCTTCAGACCTATTTCATTTTTTAGCAGTGAAACAAACCAAATCCCACAACATGATTTTTATCCCTGATCCCAAAATTAAACAATTAGCGTCATCTAAAATAATGGGAAACTGCAGAGTAGTTTGGGGTTTATTTGGCTTTGACACAGACTTTGTGTCATCCTCTGGGGGAAGCTTTTCAAACGTCTGTTCTTTGGAAAATGTCTATGGTTACATGGTATCAATCTCTTTTTTTCCTTTTAAAATCATGGCTTCTGGAGGCTTGTGACTACTAGGATTCTCAGGATCCCCCTTGCTCTCCTTCCCATGTCCCAGTTTCTCATATAGCATGCAAATACTGAGAAAAAAAGTGTGTATTCAGTCTTAAAACCTGGAAAACGGGTCTTAGCCCAGACTTAAGACTTGTCAGACTTATGTGATTCTTTTTAATACTCATTTGTGACTTGACAGGAGTCCAAATGCAATGTTTAAAATTATTCTACAAAAATACAGACTAGTAATTTTTTAAAATCTCATATAAGTAATTAAGCTGTGAATAATACCTTCCATGTGTTGGGCTAATAAAGAAGACAGTTTAGAATTATGACTCTACTAATAACTGAAGATTAAATATATTTTCTTCCTAAAGGAGAAAGCATTGTTCTTGGGCAGCAAAGCTTGCTTTTTCGTTTTTAATCACTTTTTTCTTTTGCATTCTTTTTGAAGATGAAGCAATGAGCATGCACACTAAAATGCTTGTTCATTCTTTGTCAGCATAATGTGAATCAGCAGCTATTAACCACTGTAGGCATTCATCTGTAATATAACTATTTCCTTAAAAGGAGAGATAGCTGGGGGCAAGGACAAAGAGATAAAACTGTAGAAAAAAGCCTTTGCAATGTGTTTTGAATGAGCTGTATCTTATCTAAACTGTCTTGTTTTAGCAGTAGTAAATTATAGTTGTCACTTTGGACTTCACATGTGTGGATGACAGAACTTTTTTTGTAGGCTAAAGTAAGTGTAAATGTCAACCCTAAGAAAACTGATGGAATGACTGACCTGCTAGAACTTACTCAATAGGTCAGCATAATAGGAGTTGCACCAAGTTTTGTTTTCTCCAGGCTATATTTTTGAGGGTCTACAATTATATTTTTACCAACTGAGGAATTTGTAGTGTTCCAAGGATACAGATGTTTTAGAAGCATGGTGCTAACTGAACAGACCCTTATTTTCTGCTAGGTGATAAATTAATCTTGCTAGTTTTATCATTTTTGTGATCACAACTGAATTTACATTCCAAGTGCCCAAGTTCAAGCAGCTTAGAGAGCAGTGACAGCCAAGGTGTGT